ATTATTATCACCAGTCTAACGCGTTTTTCTAAGTCAACCATTGTAGAATAAATTTAAAGTTTAAGTGTTATCTATACTCGTGACATCATTCTTTCACCACCGTCCAGTATCCAAATTCAATAAATATTCAATCGTCATTAACGTTGACGTTTGAAGTGAGCATACACGAAAGACTCTCTTTCATACTCCAACTTGTTAAATTGCTCACGCCTAAAGAGTGCGAAGGGAGGAAAAAAGGGTAGAATTGGAAACAGAAAGACGCCCGAGGGTTGGAGTTTTTGGCGAGAAAATTCGCTTCGATCAGAGTAACTCTCTCTTCGAATGCCATTTTCCAGCATTCCTCTGGACGTCATAATTAGGTCTGCGAACATTCGAACGATTCCAGTACCTTCGTTTTCATCCGGTCGTTCCGCGTTCGAAACTTACTCGAAACTGATCTGCAATTCATTTATTCGTCGGATCACTCTCGAATTCTAAACACGTTGCATTTACCTTCATTCTGGCCCCGTGTTTCGTCTGGAAACGCAGCCACCGCTGTCTCTCTCTCTGCGCCGTGGATTGGATTTTGAAAATGAAACGGACCTGGCCAAACACCTCCGAGTCACTTGCAGCCATTTAAATAGCCCGATTGCTAAGTACACGGTTAACGACGTGTTTGTTTAACGTAATTACGCTTCGGGGCTACGTTTACCGAGCCACTCTACCCACGCGTCCAGAGAAAATCCGGGGAAATTCGTAAATCGACAGTGGCTCTCCGGCGCGCGGCCACTTTTCCTTCGATCTTTCGCGGATTCGCGACAGACTCGATAGAATTCGAGAGGGAAAACGTTAACTAGCCTCGTCCGATAAGACAGATAGGAGGAAATTTCGACGAAACGCTGTCGACTGGTTGCACTCTCGAAACGTTCGTCGAGGTAGCGGCGGATTTCGAGAGGAACGTTATCACAACGGCGTGAAAGTTTTAAGCTTGTCGCGAACGCGGCACCAACGTGGAATTAAAATTGTCAGGGAATCGTGCGAGAGGTAGCGAGGCACGAGTAAACGAATTTCCATACGTTCTTAATTTATAAGCCTGGCTCGGTAGCAATATGTTTTTTTCGAGCTACCGTGGATTTTCGGGGGTACTGTCGTTCAGAGATATTACGACACTAACGTACAGTAGTATCTGGACAGTTTAACGACTATAAGTAGTTTTAAGTTGAAAGGCACCGCGTGGGGTAAAGTGAAACGGAAAAACGTGGCCAAGTGTGGTCATGTGTGCGAGGTTGGGAAATGGTTCCTCTTAAAAATGGAAATTAATTAAAATAGATCTGAGTCGTTTTAGTTGTTCAGTCGTTGGTCGTATTATAGTTACACCATCTTTTATTTTACTACACTAATGTCGTACATCGCACTTTATGTATCGTATCTATTGGTTTCAGTTATTCGGAATTTCCCTCCCTAAACGTTCCACATCATCCTTTGCGACTATTCACCTCTGAACTGTGACCTCATCCCTTAGCGACCCCTGAACCCGAAATAACCCCTATTTTCCTACCTACGAACCGTTTTCCCCATAATTCGTCACTCCTCTTTTCCCTGTTTGCCAGCCTGACCGCATTCATACCTTACTCCCAGGTGACAATATTAATATTTACGCTTAGGATGAGTTTTACTCTGTTTTTTACTATTAATGCAGGGTTCGTTCTCTACATTAGAGATTTTTTCAAAATTTCTCGCTGTAATTACTCGTGCAATTAATTAACGTTAATCTAAAAACATCGTAATAGGTAGTAAGTAAAGTGGAGACGAATAGGTTGGTAAATTGGCCCTGAGCCAGTAGGCACAACTTTTACTAAGGCAAAAATTATATAAAAAGAAGAAAAAGAGACCCGAATTTTCAAATTTTGTGGGGCAGTCTTCGCATGACGATCTGCAGGACATTCGATAAATTATCGATTGTATGATACAACGCTGCTAGTTTTTTCGCTTAAATTCCCTTAGCTCTCACATCCTGAAATTATCAACTGCAGTAAGCCGAACGTTAGGAAATAAACTGTGGAGTAATACAACACTAATTACGTTCCTGCACAAAATATTCCACCATTCAAATTCCATTTTAACACACATCGAACGAATTCCGAAATTCCAATATCACTCCGTAAAAATCGATTCTACACTATTATTAAAACGAACCTAAACTGTATAGTGTGGAATTTAGATCGCCAAATATCTGTTTCCCTATTAATACCTGCTCGATACTCGCTTCATCCACGGTCCAGAATTTTCATCTTCGAAAACATCGTTCAAAGAGATTCACAGAGAATTTCCAAGTTTGATAGCCGATTTCAAGGGTGGTTCTCGATAAGAAGTTAGCTCCCAGGAGAGAGAGAGAGGGAGGCCTGGTGCTAAGCACCGAAGCACACCATCGATCGAGAACGGGACGAAGCTTGTAATTGCAACATAATCGAGGCACACACAAAGCGTAGCAACAAAGGCGATAGATCCCCCGTGACAAAGGTTGTAATTGCCTGCCTCGGCTAATGACGACTCCCGTTCAACACGGAGAGAGAGAGAGGGAGGGACGAACTACATCGATTAAACATTTTAATTACACGCTAAACGAGCCACTGAAACGGGAATCTCACGTTGTATCCTGTAATAATTTTCCGCGAGTTGACGCCGAAAACTCGGTACTTCCACGCGTCTGTCTCTTCCTCTCCTCTGATTGTTGTCGTTCTTGTTATTGTTGTCGTTGCCATCGCGAACAACCGTCGTGAAAACAGAGCGATATTAATCACAGCATTGACGGATGATAACGCGTATGGGGGAAAGTGTAATCGAACAGTTTTCAACTTTGTACAGAGTGTGGGAGATATTTTGTTTTTAACGAGAAACACATCTGTCGTTCGTGTCATCGGAAAATCGTTCCATCAAAGTTTCGTTTCGGTTGCAAACTGTGATTTTGGACGCTGAATTTCTTATTTTTATCCGCAAATCACTTTATATATAGTTTTCTGTTTGATTTAGTGTATCACTGCTTTCTATTTAACACGCTTATTTCTTTTACTTTTCTTAGAGGGATATTGCTTATTTTTTCGAGTTTTTCGAAGCATAGGTTGTAAACTGTTGGATTATTAGGAAAAATGAGCGTGTGTCTGTGTAATAGTAACAATTAGTGTCAGCCGTCCTAAGAAGGACTCAGAGTACCTCAAGCTTTGTGCTTATACACCTATATCAGGCCAGTTTCTACTCTCTATCGAAGCCAACAAACCAGAGAAATGAGCGAGGAGGCCCGACCATGTTTGAACCCCAACTTGGCGGTAAGGATTTTTGCTCTTGGACTTTTTCAATTTCTAGAATGT